CCCAGCTCGCCGCCCGTGGCCGTGGCCGTGGCCGGCTGGCGCGCGCACGCAAGGAGGCCGGCGGCGGGCGCACGCGAGGAGGCTGGAGGCAGGCGCATGCGAGGAGGGCGCACGGGGCACTTTTCAGCGCGCGTGGGAATTTTAGCGCGCTGGAGCTCACGCCCCAAATATGCAGCTTCCAGTCCGGTTTCATCCGGCGCGCTGAAGATTTTTTAGAGCGTGCTCTATTATGCAGCGTCTGTTGGAGTGCTTTTTTTAACTCTGCGCACGCTAAACTTGCGATTTTTTGGGCGTGACGCTGATATTGGGCGTCTGTTGGAGATGCTCTTAGGACAAAGAAAAAGTCTAGAAAATCTTTCATGAAAGTCTCCCTACCATTTAAAAAACTCTAAAAAAACTTTCTTACCGTGACCAACTAGCATGTGCCAGATGGCGAAGCTGGTTGGCCACCATTCTAGTGCCTCTTAATGGGTGAGAGGAAGATATGCACACCTTTCCATCATATCAAAAAAATAAAAAATATTCTTGCATCAGGTGGACATCATAACCATCTTAAAAGGACAAAGAAAAAGCCTAGAATATTTTTTCTCGAAAGTCTCCCTACCATTTAAAAAACTCTAAAAAAACGTTCTCATCGTGACCAACCAGCATGCGCCACACGGCATAGCTGGTTGGCCATCATTCTAGCGCCTCTTAATGGGTTTAATAAAGACTGATATGAACACAATATAAGGGTTGACTGTTAAGTTGGATCAAAGCTGGCCAAACAGCCCGGGATAGCTGGGTTGGCCTGGTAGCGCACCATGCATGGCATGGCACGGGCTAAACAGGTCGCGTCCCGGCATGCGGCATGTCAGGGGGCCATGCGCCTTGAGGCTGGGCACGGGGGCCGGCACTGCCGAATCTGGCCCCAAAAACAGCATAGCGCAAGACTACTGTGCCGCCGTTTAGTAGCAATTCCCTATTCGCCAGTCTTTGCGGCAAACAGATGCTGTTTCGCACAGGCGATCAGTTTTTGGGCCGGCCCGTCTGCGCGTTTTCAGCGTTCCCGGTTTTGGGAACCTTCTGCCGATTTTTTACGGTTTTGGGAACCTTCTAGAAGGTTCCTGAACCAGATTTCTTTCTTTTATGTTTTTTTCTATTTTTTTTCCTTTTCTCTCCCTGTTTCCTTTTCAGTTTATTTTCTTTACTTGTTTCTTTTTTCTCTGATTTTCTTTTCTTTTTATTTCATTTTATTTCTCAGATTTTTTTTTCAAAAATGGTTCGCTTTTTACAAATTTTGTTCATTTTTACAGAAAATGTTCATGTTTTCAAATTTTGTTCATAACTTGCGAAATTTGTTCGCTTTGTTTCAAAAAATGTTCATAATTTCATGAAATGTCCCATTTTAAATATTTGTTCAAAAATTCAAAAAAAATTCATGGTTTAAAACTTTGTTCGGAGTTTCATAATTTGTTCACAACTTCAAAAACGTTTCATGTTTTTCAAAATCATTTTCTGCAGTTTCAATTTTTTTGTTCGTCTAGGCAAAAAAAATGTTCCTGTTTGAATTTTTTGTTCAGAAATTTTGTAAATTTTTAGAATTTAAAAAAAGTGTTCATCTTTTCAAACTTTGTTCACAAACTAAAAAAAATTCGGTTTAAGAGATATGTTTCAGCTTTCAAAATTTGTTCAAAAATTGCCCAGGAATTTCAAAAAATGTTCCCATTTTTGAAAATTGTTCAAAAAAAATTCAGAAAAATGTGCACACTCTCACTTTTGAGTTTCGAAATTGTTGAGTTTCAAACTTTTGTTCACAAATTTCAAAAAATGTTCGGGCGGTTCAAAACATGCTCCCGTTTTCAAAAAATTGTTCGCAATTTTAAAAATGTGCATGTTTTAAGTTTTTCAGGTGTTTCAAAATCGTTCAGTATCAAATTTTTGTTCACAAATTTCAAAAAGTGTTCGGGCGGTTCAAAACATGTTTCCGCTTTCAAAATTTGTTCACAAATTTAAAAAATTCGCATGTTTTCATTTTTTCAGGAGTTTTGAAATTGTTTAGTTTCAACTTTTTGTTCACAAATTTCAAAAAAAAATTGGGCAGTTCAAAAATGTTCTCG